GTGGTATTCCTCCTCAAGATGTATAATCTGAATCTAATTATAAGGAAACATCAGACAAACCCACATTGAAGGACGTTCTACAAAATAATTGGCCTATATTCTTCAAAAATATCACAGTCAGGAAAGAAAAAGAAAGGCTGAGAAACTGTTCCAGATTAAAGGAAACTAAAGAGACATGAGATCTAAATGCAATTCATGATCCTGGACTGGATGACAGATCAGAATTTTAAAAATAACTATGAAGGACATTTTTTAGATAAATGATAAATTTGAATATGGACTATGAATTTGACAATAATATTGAGTCAATGTTAATACGCCTGTTTTTTTTTTTTGAGGAAGATCAGCCCTGAGCTAACATCCATGCTAACCTTCCTCTTTTGCTGAGGAAGACCAGCTCTAAGCTAACATCTATTCCAATCCTCCTCCTTCCCCCCCCCCCCAAGGCCCGAGTAGATAGTTGTACGTCATAGCTGCACATCCTTCTAGCTGCCGTATGTGGGACACGGCCTCAGCATGGCCAGAGAAGCGGTGCGTCAGTGTGCGCCCGGGATCCGAACCTGGGCCGCCAGTAGCAGAGCTCGCGTACTTAACCGCTAAGCCACGGGCCGGCCCAATACGCCTGATTTTGAGAAAAGAGAACTGTTGTACACTGTTGGCAGAACGTAAATTGGTACAGCCATAATGGGAAACAGTATGGAGGTTCCTCAAAATATTACAGCTCCCAGAGTTGGCCTGGTGGTGTAGTAGTTAAGTTCATGCACTCCGCGTCAGTGGCCCAGGGTTCACAGGTTCAGATGCCGGATGCAGACCTAAGCACCACTTATCAAGCCATGCTGTGGCAGGCACCCCACATATAAAGTACAGGAAGATGGAGATAGATGTTAGCCCAGGGCCAATCTTCCTCAGCAAAAAGAGGAGGATTGGCAACAGATGTTAGCTCAGGGCTAATCTTCCTCACCAAAAAAAAAGTAGAACTCCCATATGATCCAGCAATTCCACTTCTGGGTATGTATCTAAAGGAAATGAAATCAGAATCTCGAAGAGATAGCTGCACTCTCATGTTCACTGCAGCATTATTCACAATAGCCAACATATGGAAACAACCTAAGTGTCCACCTATGGATGAATGGATATATAAGATGTGGTATATATATATACCACAGAATACTATTCAGCCATGAGAATGAAGGAAATCCTGCCATTTTCGACAACATGGATGAACCTAGAGGACATTATGCTAAGTGAAATAAGGCAACAGAGAAAGACAAATATTATATGATCTCATTTATATGATCTCATTTACAGGTGGAACCTAAAAAAATTAAAAAGTCAAACTCATAGAAACAGAAAGTAGAATGGCATTTACCAGGGGCTGGGAGTAGGGGGAGACGCAGAGACGTTGGTCAAAGGGTACCAAGTTGCAGTTATGTAGGATGAGTAAGTCTAGGCATCTAAGGTACAGGCATGATGACTACAATTAATAATACTGTATTGAATACTGGAAATATGCTAAGAGTAAATATCAGATGCTCTCATCACAAAAAAAGTGGTAACTATGTGAGGAGATGACACATTAATGAGCATGACTGTAGTAATCATTTCACTATGTATATGTATATCAAATCATCATGTTGTACACCTTAAATATATATAATTTTTATTTTATATATATAAATAATATATTTTAATATGTATTTAAAAATACAATTTATATATATATATATATATATATATGTGTATATATATATATATATATATAAAATATATATACACACACACACATATAAAATGCCCTGCAGGGACTCTGAGCCCAGGGATTCTAACAAAAAAAAAAAATTTCAAAAGAATTCATGACACCAAAAAAAAAAGCCCAATTCTGATAATCATGGTGTAGTTATATAAGAGAAAGTCCTTGGTTCTTAGGAAATACTGAAGTATTTAGTGGTAAAGGAACATGTCTCCAACTTATCTAAAATAGCTCAGAAAAAATTTATTTTTATATGTCTACGTGTGTAGAGAGAGAATGCTAAAGCAAATGTAAACAACTGGTGTATCTAGAGAAAGGTCATCCAGAAGTTCCTTGTACTATTTTTGAAACTTAAAAAAATTACATTAAGTGTACATTAGTTAATAATAATCTATTTTTATTAGTTATTAATACATTAGTTAATAATAATGCATTGTATACCTGAAATTTGCTAAGAGAATAGATCCCAGGTGTTCCCACCACAGGAAAAAAAAACATGGTAACTATGGGAGGTGACAGATGTGTTAATTAGTCTGATTGTGATAATCACATCACAATGTATACATATATCAAACATCAAAACATCACATTGTACACCTATATACAATTTTTATTTGTCAAAAAAAAAAAAATTATACCAAAATAAAAACTCACCCTTCTCCCAATCCAAAAAACACAAATAAGTAAAGGCAAAAGAATTGCCTTGATTATATTAGACATTCAACAACACATTCTTGAGATAAGATGAAACATAACAGAAAATATAGTCAAAGGGTTGCATTTTAAAGCATTGCTCATTTTATACTTCAAGGTTTGACTAAAAAAGTAATCACCTTTACTTGAATTTTTCATACATGTACATACATATAAGTTTAAATATGGACTATGGATAGATATATAAAATGTCACCTATAGAACAGATGGCAGAGTGATTAGAGTGGGGCTCTGGACTCATATAAGCCTAGGTCCCAATCCCAGCACCATCATTTATTAGCTGCCGAATCCTAGGCAAGGTACTAAACCCCTCTGTGCCTCAATTTTCTCATTTTTAAAATGCAGCCAATAATAGTTTCTAATTCTTAAGATTCCTGTGAAGATTTCAAAGGATAAAACATGTAAAGAGCTTACACATTCAGCACGAGTGTTGTTATTATTTCGTTGTTTCTAGAAACAAATATCAAAGAAAATGAGTCTTTAACCTAAAAGATAATGAACTGAATACCAAATCTCTTGAGATTGAGGTTATGACCTGCCCCATACCAGTAAAAAGCAAGAGGAAAATAAGCTATGAGTCAAAGGGGACCAGCTCAGAGCATTTAAACTCAAAATTAAAATGTAAATGAAACAAAAAATCCTCTTTACAACTAGATTATGATGTTAAAGTATTTTTAGAACAATATATTAAAGAATGATCTTGATTTGAAAGTACCTTTGATTCTGCTTAATTCACTCAAGTTTAAGTTCAACAGGTGAGATTTAGATATTTTTAAAAAGCATCCTTAATGCCTGCTTGGATTTCCATCAGGAAGAACTATCTAACCACGCAGACTCTGCAAACATTTGTAGAGGCATAGTTAATCAAATTTTATTTAGTAATTAAGGTACTGAAGGTAAGAAATCATAAATTCTGTCATGTATCAGAAGTCATAAACTCAAATGCCTACATAGGCCAGGTATCAGAAACAATCAGGTATAAATCAACAGGGAAGAACTGAGACCACAGTGACTAGACCTGAAGAGTAAGTAATCACCTAAAGCCATTTAAATTCAAGTCCTGTTTTATTTTTTAAACATTGTGCTATATGTGTTCAGGCCGAGTTCAGTTCAGAGGGGCATCTGTTTTGACCACTGAACTTAAGATTTTAAGTCCTTAGGGCCTTTATAACATATATTTGTATGTAAACTTGATGTTTTATAAAAGACATCAATAAAATGGAACCTTTCTGAGAATGAATACTCATACACATCAAAAACATCAGGAAATGTTTCAGTGACTTCCAAAAGGCAGTCATATCATTAAAGACAGCCTAAGTTGGTTATCTCTCCCCCCTTATATTCATAATTAAGATACAACTTTTATATGTCATAATATATAATCTTTAAGTTTCCTTACAACTCTGACATTTTAAGATTCTATGATTGATGGAACAAAATTCTTTCATACTGGTAATAAATATGTACCCATGAAATAATTTAATTATTACAAAAACACACTAAAAATTGTTGAATTCAAGGCCCAGCCCCTTGGCCAAGTGGTTAAAGCTCTGCACGCTCTGCTTCGGCGGCCTGAGTTCACGAGTTTGGATCCTGGGTACGGACCTACTCCACTCATCAGCCATGCTATGGCAGCGACCCACACACAAAATAGAGGAAGACTGGCACAGATGTTAGCTCAGGGCTAATCTTCCTCAAGCAAAAAAAAGACGAGGATTGGCAACGGAAGTTAGCTCAGGGCAAACCTTCCTCAGCAAAAAAAAAAAAATTGTTGAATTAATTCACAATGAAATGTTTGGCCTAAATATTATTATTAAAAAGAAAATTAAATTTGCATTTTTGACATGGTACTGATGCAGCCTATATCTCACCTGTTAACCATGTTTAAAAAAAACTTTTTAAATAAAATAGCAGCCCCACCTTTATTAATTCTTTCTAGATATTCTCCAATAAGTATACTAGGAAAAAGAGGGTACATTAAATGAACAATATTCAATGACCCCAAAATCCAAAGTAATCTCTCCTTCCACTGGATTCCCTAGAACTTGTGTTATTGTTGTTTTATACTATAATATTTTGGTGTTTTATCTTCTCTAAAATACTTTAAACTACATAATGGCAGAAAGCATGTCTTATTCATATTTTATCCCTATCAATAAGCATTTTGTACTTGCACAGAAGGTGCTCATAAAAAAAAAAAATCCAAGAGAAACCTACCATGTCTCAGGATAATAATGATGATCTTATGTTAAACTCTTTCAAATTCTGAAATAAATTGAGTTTTTCACGATGGAAATTATTATTACGCTTTTAAGCATTCTCTACAATTCACAGAAGTTTTCAGCATCAGTAGCTAGTTATATTACTATTCAAGCAACAGTATTTTTAAATTGATAAATATTGCAATAACTTTATAATCTTTTGATTTGAGAAAATAAAACTTTAAGAACGTTACTTAAGCCTAAGCTTAAAAAATTTATTTGAGAGAAAAATGATATGTTTTAGGAAAGTATTATTTACAGTCATTGAGTCTTACCTGAGGATTCCAGCCTGGATCCAATTTCTTAACCACTGCGATATACTCCTGCATTGCCTGGCTGGGGCTTGAATCACCAAGGGCTTTCCAGGCTTCCCTATAGTACGGAATTTCCAAAATGACCTATTGTTAATGATGTAAGCAACACAAACAGCATATTTATTTTTATTACTAAAAAAATTGACATACATATTTTAAGGGTCTGGGGATGCAGATATAATAAGTCACGGATGAGTAGCCCCCTCTTTTTGCATTTACGTTGGTCTACAGCAGTAAAGTTCTTATCACCTCACCTAAGGATCCTTTTTAAACTTTTTTTCAGAATCAACCTCCCTCACAAAATTTTAATTACATAGATATTCTGCATATGTGTTGAATTTTGGAAGACTATGAACTCATTGTAATATCTAAGACTTCATAACTCCCCAAAACCCAACCTTCACCCTTGCTGAGAACTGACCAATAAAAGCAGTTCCCATCTTACGAATTAACTGTGCTTATGGCATTTCGGTAATGTGGAAACCAATCATCACACAAAACAATATTCCCTGGGAAAATACTTCAAACTTCTTATTTTAGATGTAAGAAACACATCTTCCCCTTCTGCTGTTATCTCACCTATAAGCTACTAGTAGTAGATTCTGAGTCCTCAGGCTGGGACTTCAAAAGTGAGAGGTGGTGAGGACAGATGTAAGAATACTAATAAGTAAGAACACAAAGACTTCTTGCAGTATAAATACCCAAAGTAATATTTTAGTCCTGAGCCCGCTTCTGGGTCATCCTTTTCTTCTTTTTCCACAAGCTGCCACGACAGGCTCCTGCTTGGTTTTTCCCTGCCGATTCTTTCTACTTCCAACCAGGAAGCAGATCCACTGATTCACTGTAAAACAGAACTCAGTCCCAGTTTTCTCACTACTTTCCTGCTCCTATGAGGACTATAACATCTTTGTGAGGTTTTCTAAATTTATTTTTCTGAATCTCTTGAGAGTTACTTGTATACATCCTTACACTTTACCCCTAAATATATCAGCATATATCAAACTGAGGAAATTTAACATCAATATTATTATATAAATATATAGACAACATTCAGATTTCCCCGATTTCCCAATAATGTCCTTTCTAGCTTTCTTCTCCCAGACCAGGAGCCAATCAAGATTCACACGCAGCACTGAGTTTCAGGTACCTTTAGCCCTTTGTTGTCATCCATGATATTGATATTTTTTAAGAGTCCAAACCAGTTGTTTTATAAAATATCCCTTAATTTAGATTTGTCTGATTGTTTTCTCACCTACAGAATGTTCTTGCCAAAAATGATTAATCATGATTAGAATCGGGTAAACAACTTGGCGAGAAGTAGCGTATAGGTGACATGTGCTTTACAAGGCACTACATCAGGGGACACATGATGTCAGTTTCTCCATCATCCATGAGAAGATTGAGGCCTTGGTAAAAGCAGTATCTCCCATTTTCTTCTTTGCAATTAATAAGTAAACTGTGGGTCAGATTGTGTAAATATTGCTCCCCATTTAATGGTTTTAGCATCCATTGATGATTCTTGTCTGAATTATTATTATAGTGGTTGTAAAATCTAAACTTTTTTAAATTGCTAAAATCAATGAAAAAACAGACAAGCATAGGAAAAACATAATGAAGTTAGGAAATTTCATAAATTAAAACCAAAAACTCACAATAAAAGTTACATCACGTATTCTTTACAACAGTAATAAAATGCCAGAGAACTATTTGTCATCATTAGCAAAGAAAGCTTGTGCCAAAATGAAAATCAAAGCCCTGCTTCCTTCACTGAGAATGTCCTACGCACACAAAAAATCAGCTGAACTAAACAGTGAGCTTAATGACATGACATTTGCATCTGGGTTCAAGCTCTGCGTCTCCTTACAGTTGGGTATCAAACAGTTCACAGACAGGCGACTTGTCCAGGGAGCCACACTGTGAGTAGCACTGTTCTAGAAGGTAAAGTTAGGATCCATTTTTAGCACCACTTCTCTCTACAACCATATTTCATCTTTTTTTTTAAACCCTACCCGCTATACTTTTAATTCCAGGGCCGACACTCCCAAGTCCTTCCTTCTATAACTAAGAGAATCTTTCTTATTGTATACAATTTCTCTTTTTCACTTAGACAAGGTAAGAGGAAATAAAGCCTCATATGGTAAGAGGGAACCTCCGAATTATAGGCAAAAAACTGGGGAGGGTATAATCTTTTTATGAATTCAGAAATAAGTGGACTCAGTATCTGGGTTTTTTTGCTTCTTCCCACGAGGTTATTATAAGCACTTCTTTACGGTCACTGCTTACGGCAAGCAACAGAAGAGCACTAGACATGAGGAGACAAAATTGGGGCAGGGGAGAAGAGAGAAGAATGGGGATTTACTCTCCTCTTCTCCCTTCCCATCCTCCTGGCCATCTTCCAGAAACTCCTCCAGAGGGGAGAAGTGGTGACCCAGCAGCGGCAGTATGACAGAAGGGAAAATCTCAAGCAACAGCTCTTATGGTCACTCTCTAAGAAGCTCTTCATATGTAAGGAACGCATGTCTGTTGCGAACTACTTACACGCCAACGTCACGGCACAAGACTCCTTCAGGAGACTTAGCTAAAAGCGGATTCTTTTAATCTCTCTCCCAATTGCTTGTCATTAGCCCAGTCCACAGTAGAGAGATTAATATAAAAATAATTCTTTAATCTGCTCACTACTTTCTAATTCCTAAACACCTAAATCACTTCCAATAACCTGATTAGATTCCAAGAATTTCTTACCATTTTTGCTTTCCTTCAAAATCAAAGAAGCCTGGTTTAGGAGTATTGCAATTCCCAACTTTGACCTAAATGAAGGGGGGGAAATCAAGAACTTATTTTTCAAAGAAATGCCAGAGAAACCTTATATTTTCAAATTTATTATGTATACTTAGTAACCATAGGTTAGAAAATATTTGCATCTGTATAGAATAATAAAATTTAACATTCTTTGCAAAAACAAACTTTAAATACAGGCTGCTTTGCCTTACTGCTTAAAACAACTGTTATCTAATACTGTAATACACAAAAAAGTATGAGTGACAAACAGTTGCATTCCTAAGTTAGCAGACTATTACATAAGACAAATTATAAATACAGATTATGCAATCTTTATTACCATTTATAATATAGAAGAATTTTTAAACATGCAATAAACAAGCTTTAAAGTACAATTTATCAGAATTCATAATATTGTTTACTTATGCTGATTCTCATAACACCACCAGCATATTATCTCTCCCAAACTCCAGGATAAAACACACTACTCTTAAAGTGCCCTATTATGAAACTAATCAATACAAATTTAGATGCTGAAAGCCGTGCAAAAAATTTTCAATAGTTTCTTAACAACAATATAAATTCTATCTATTCCACAATAATCTTCTCTTGTTTGTGGTCAATACTTATTTTTAATTCTCAAATAACATTTGTACTTAAATTATACAGTAATTATTTTCACTATGTATAAGCATAAATGAAACTCGCACAGGTGCAGAATTCACCACACAGCCTGATTCCCACTGCCAGAAGCACTCTCGCTTTCCGATAAACTGTCCCAGTAATCACTCTGCGTATCTCTGACAGCACTTTTCACTTTTACCTAGTGTTAGAAAGTTTTGTGTAAAGTCTCATCTTTCTGTTAGAACACAGCCTCTAAGAAACCATTCTTCACTTACTCATTGCACCTAATACAGTGCCTAACTTTAGGTAGTAAAAAATGTTTGTGGAATATAAAATGAATATGTTTGGCACATGTTCAACAAAATACCTATTTTCCCTAATGCTAAATACCAGATTCTGACCCCAATCTACTTCTCAGGAACCTTCCACTACTTCTCATTACTCTTAAACACTTGAATTTTGCTAAAATCAAACTGATGCACTACTCACTGCCTCAGGGATTTTTATTCTGCGTTTTGCTCATATCACTCCCCTCAGCTGAAAAGCCTTCTTCTTCCCTCAGCTTTCCCAAATGCTACACCTCCTTCCAGTCCCACTCAAGGTTCAGATCCTAAGAACCCTTCAGTCTATAATGATCTCACTCATCTCCGAATGCGTAACAATTATCATCTCTATCATTTGCTTAGCAATTAATCACATGGCCCTCTGGTCGTTACTAAAACGTACACTTGTATAGAAGCAGCCCTGTTATGAGGGGACGGGGGAAGAAATAGCGAGAGAGCAAGAGCTGCATTTCCCGGACAATCACTATAAACCCAAAGCTTCACATATGTTATGCCAAATGAGCCACACAACAATCCTATCGGTTCTGCCACTACAAACTCATTTTATAAATGTATATAGAGAAGCTGAGTAGGGTTGTCACAATTCACATGTTAGTGTGAATCCTGAACTAGTAGTCAGGATTTGAATCCAGGACCGTCAAAAGTCCAATATTCCTTAACTAGACCACTCTGTTTTACATGCTATATAGAATCTAGGCTTCAGGTCTGGCATCTCTAAAATGACCTGAACTACTGGATTGTTAGAAATATGAAATGAGAGAATGGACTGGTGGTTACCACAGGGGAACGGGGGAGGCGGGAGGGTGAAAGGACTAAAAGGACACATCTGTACATGACGATGGCAATTAGACTTTGGGTAGTGAACACGACGTAGTCTTCACAGAAAAAAAAGATATGAAATGAGATAAATTATTAGACATCATAAAAACAGCGGTTGTTACTATTTTTGTTCTTTATCCAGATACCAGCCAGTGGCAGAACCAAATACCAATATCTATTCTCCATTTCTCCTACAGTAACAGAAGTCTCAGCCAGACACATGGTTATCCAGCTAAACATTACACGTGGCCATGCAACTTCTGCCCAGGTTCAGGGGCTGAATGTGTGCACAAGTGATATAAATATCTTCCTTAAAAAGAAAGAGGGGCTTATCCTTTCCTGCCCCTTTGCACTGCCTAGAATACGCATGTGGTGTGGTGAGCCACCACTGGCCATGGAAAGAGGATCGGAGGGCAGCAGTTCTCAAACTTTTTGGTCTCATAATCCCTTACACTTTTAGAAATTGAGGACCCCAAAGAGCTTTTGTTTATGTGGGTTATATCTATAAATATTTACCATATTAGAAATTAAAAGACATTTTAAAAATATGTATTAATTCATTTAAAAATAATAATAAACTCATTACGTTAACATAAATAAAATTTTATGAAAAATACCTATTCTAAAGCAAGAAAAATGAGATTGCTTTTACATTTTGCAAATCTCTTTAATGTCTGCCTTAATAGAAGGAAGTTGTATTCACGTTATCTATTTCTGCATTCAATCTACTGCAAAATGTTGCTTTGGTTGAAGCATATGAAGAAAACTCGGCTTCACACAGATATGTTGTTAGAAAAGAAAGAAGTATTTTAGCAGCATTTTCAGATAATTGTGGGTCTTCTTCTTTGATACCACAGCAAAACTCAACAAGTGGCAGTTTCTTTAAGGTTAGCTGCAATGTGGAACCTGAAGTCATATCAACAAACTTTTCATAGTGTTACATTACAATCTATTAGTCTGACTTGCACTTTGAACGGATCTTTTACCCACACACAATTTGTACCATCATTCCACGCAACATTTGGAAAATATGGTTCACTGTGTTATGCAGATCTTCCAAATGTTGACACATTTCATTATACAATAGCAAAAGTTGATAATCATTAAAATCATCACTAATCTCATCAAAAAAGCTTTTAAGCGGCTGGCCCCATGGCTTAGCGGTTAAGTGCGCGTGCTCCGCTACTGGCGGCCCGAGTTCGGATCCCGGGCGCGCACCAACGCACCACTTGTCCAGCCATGCTGAGGCCGCGTCCCACATACAGCAACTAGAAGGATGTGCAACTATGACATACAACTATCTACTGGGGCTTTGGGGAGAAAAAAGGGGGAAAAAAAGGGGAGGATTGGCAATAGACGTTAGCTCAGAGCCAGTCTTCCTCAGCAAAAAGAGGAGGATTGGCATGGATGTTAGCTCAGGGCTGATCATCCTCACAAAAAAAAAAAAAAAGCTTTTAAGTATTAGGAAGCTGTCAAGCTCAGTGACAGATACAGATTTCCCAAACTTCTAATTCTCACTTGAAGGCTGAAAGGCTATCACTAGTAACAAACACTGTCAGTTCTTTTCCTTAAAGTGACAGACTCACTTCATTCATTTTCAAGAAACAGTCTTCCAAATACTCAAATTTGAATAAGCATAGTTTATCTGTGAGTTCTATTAAGTAAAAATGATGTTTCATGGAAAAAGTGGATAGCTCAGCTTGCAACTTAAAAATCACACGTGCTTGTCCTCGAAATAGCCAACACAATTCAGTGTGCAGTAGAAGTTCTTTGTGTGTACCCCCATTTCCTCACACACAATATTAAAAAGACTGTACTCAAGCCTTAATATTTAATAAAAATCAATAATTTTCACTGCTTCATCAAAGACATTTTTAAGCGAAACTGGCTTTTTTTTTTTCAGTACATGGCAGTAAAATATTAGACTACTAGTACAGTTTGCTGCCACTGCCTTGATTCATGCTAATGCCTCAGCAGTTTTGTCCACCATGACAGCATAGAAAAAAGGCAAATAGTGTCTTTGTATTATTATGAAAACAGTTTTGACCTTAGAGATCCCCTGAGAAAGCCTCAGGGATTCTCAGGAGTCTGTAGATCATAATTTGAGAACTGCTGCCTTGGGCGACGGCTGAGCTACAAGATAGAGAAAGACTCAGCCCCTGGATGATCTCATGAAGCAGAACCACCCACCAGCCCTAGATCACCTACCTCCAGACCATGACGTGAAATGAAAATAAAAGTTCAACAGCTGACCCTGTATCCCAACTGACACAGAAGCTTTGTATTCCCAAATTCAAAGAATAGTTCTGGATCCAGAAAAGACAGGGAAAATAAAACTAGAGGAGTTTAGGACATCATGAGCAACAGTTTCCAATCATTAGATAATGAATCAGAAGCTACAGCGCAGAGTTATAAAATATACCACTTTAACAGAGCACCTAAATTGTTCTCTCTGATATATATATGACATATGCAGTGCCCTTGAAACAGAGTATTTCCACAAAGGTTGCAAATGGCAAATGCCACTGAATCAAGTGGCACTGACAAATCCTGTCCCCAGGCTAAAGGATCCTCACTGGTGCTAGTGCTGAAGGCTCCTATAAAATGAAGCCAACAGGAGTTTGAAATTTTCATTGTCTGATAGTTTTCACGGGTGTCAACTAGCGATCTCTTGCTGGAAGAGTGTAGGCTAATGCACAGAGGACAAAAAAACCTGTTAGGGCCGGCCCCGTGGCTTAGCGGTTAAGTGCGCAGGCTCCGCTACTGGCAGCCCGGGTTTGGATCCCGGGCGGGCACCAATGCACCGCTTCTCCAGCCATGCTGAGGCTGCGTCCCACATACAGCAACTAGAAGGATGTGCAACTATGACGTACAACTATCTATTGGGGCTTTGGGGGGAAAAAAAAGGAGGAGGATTGGCAATAGATGTTAGCTCAGAGCCGGTCTTCCTCAGCAAAAAGAGGAGGATTAGCATGGATGTTAGCTCAGGGCTGATAGTCCTCACAAAAAAAAAAAAAACCTGTTATTTCGGGTGATCTTTTTGAAACGTCACTACAAGATGATTTTGGAGCCATAGGGTTACCTGAGATTAAAACAGCTATTATGTTAAGTAAGTTACCTCTGCCTGAGAAAATAAGGTTCATATCTCAGCTTGTTTTTATTATCTTCCTGCTGACAACCTTACCTCATTCAGCCTACAAAATAGGGTGCTATTCTGAATACAAAATTTAATTATTTTATGACAAATTTTGATCCACCATGCAGGAACTATATTGGACTTTCAACTTTATTATTCTCTCAAAGATGCTATTGTTAACACTGTCTCAGAATTCTGCTAAAAATAAAATACTTAGAGGAGACTGGTAAAAATTGTGTCCCAATGTCATATCTAAGTAAGCATAATCCTATTCTCTAATAATGAAGAATTTTATTTCCAGATACAGAATATCTGCAAACACCCTAACATCAAGTTCTTGAAAGGGTGAAAGACACACCTCTTCCAGACTATCTGGATGAAGTGAGTAGACTTGGGTTTACTGATGACTCAGAATTCAGATATTTAATAATGATGACACTAATATCAATAAAGATACGTCCTAGAAAGAAAAAGAACGTTCTCTAGAGAATTTGGAGAAAATTAGTCTTATACTGACCAGAGAATCATCAGTCAGACATGTTACAGGCCCTAGCACGATGCTCAATAAATTCCTGTTAAATAATCGAGTCTCATTTTAATGCTATTAGGACAGGGTAAATGACCAAAGAGAAAATAGATATCCAGAACTTTTACAAGAAAGCAAGTTTCAAGGCCAATTCAGGGCTAATTTTCATTCAACACTGTGACTTATACCATTTGTACCCACAGCTGTATCTCTCAGGTCACGTTAACTGATATTCATAACTGATATACATCAATCTCCAAAAGAAGGTTCATCTCTATCCAGTATATTCAGTTGAAGAATACAGAGAGACCCTACACCCATTTTTTTTAAAAAAGAATACAGCGGGAAATAGCTACCAAGAGGCTCAAGATACGTTAAAATTTTTTTAATAAAATAAAATGGGCTATTAGCCAGAACTTCATTGCTTTCAGTTGTTCCAAAAAGCTGGAGTTTCCCTGAGCTGCTATTTTACTCTTGTCAGCAATTTTTCAGGTGTTTAAATTTAGACTCCTCAAGTAACTGTAAGTCTGTTGAAAGCAAGTATCATGATGCTTTAGCTTCTCTGCATTCCCTGTAAGCATAACACCCAAATGTTTTGCACATAAAAGATGCTGAATAATTATCTGTTGATTATGACAAAGCAATTTTTTTCCTTCTGGTACCTAACCCAATGACTCTTTGAATGATAAATGTCTTATATGACATTATTATTATTATTTCCATATTTCCAGGTAGAGTTCAGCCTCAGACAGAGTCAGGAGCTACAATCTAGTTCTAGCTCTGACTGATTTATCTGTATGACCCCAGGCAAGTTATCTACTCTCTTTGGGTTTCCCTTTCCTTTTCCGTAAAAGAAAGGGATTATTTCATCTGGAGATATCGCTAACATTTTTATAATTGTATCTAAAAGACAGAAGCATATTCAGCCAAAACATAAGCCTAAGACATTGAAAGTTAAAAAATCACAATAATAAAAGTAGTAATAATTTATTTCCTATTGCATCACCCTTTTTATTACAATCATATTATTCTCGTGGATCTCAAAATATCTTTTTAACATTACCATATTTACTTCCATATGACCCTCTGGCAAGAGTGAATGATAAATCTTACACTATCATCCTCATTTTGTAAAGACGCTGAAGCTGGTAAAAGCATAAGCGCAGGACACCGAGCAAGTCAGACAAGACAGAAACACTGTCATTTCGTGTCCAGCTAAATATCGCTCCTACGATAGCAGACAGGTCCTCTCCATGTCCTGAATGACGCTGATCCTTAGCAGATGATGTAAAAACAAAACATACACAAACTTCATTACACCTAGCCATCAACCAAGCACGCTGACCAACAGTTCTCGGCAGAAAGAGAAGGCCTCCTGGGGCTCTCCCGCCTCCACCCTTCCGCGCGACTTTACCTGCTTGTACCTGGCGTACAGGTACAGGAGCTGCTCCCGGCTGGCCACCTGAACCAGGCCCTGGAGGCGCGCCGCGGCCTTCTCAAACAGCTCGGCCAGGCTCCGGGACGCCGCGGGCTCGGGGCTCGGGAGGGACTCCACATCCCCGGAGTCGTCCCCCGAGCTCAGCTCTCCGCCGCTGTCGCCCGGGGGGGCCCCCGCAGGCAGGCACGGCGAGGCCATGCGTCCGCCCTGCGCGCCTCAGGCCGGTGGAACGCCGGCTCGGGGGCCTGGCCCACCAGGCCGGGTCCGGGGCCCGAGCTCGAGTGGGACCCAAGCTCACTTCGTCCGCGCCCCCTGCCGCTGCCGCCCCGGGCGCGCGGGGCAGGCTCCGCCGCCCTCTGCCGCTTCCCGCTGCGGGCCCCGTCTCCCCCGGCTTCCTGCGGGTAACAGCGCGCTCGGGAAGGCCCCGCGTCCCCCAGCCGCGCGGGGGGCTGGGGGCGGCGCGGCCAAGCGGTCCCGGCGAAAGCGCGGCGGCCGGCGGGGCCGGGGGCGGGGTCGGAACGGCGTGAGCGCGGCACGGGGGCGCGCACGAACACGAGCGGCGCACGAGCACGCGCCCCGGCCACGCGGAGCCTGCTGGGCGCCGGCCGGGGAAACGTGGGCGGCCCCACGTGGGCGCCCGCCTCTTGGGGGATTTGTGGGCCCTCGCTGGGGGATCGCTGCTCGGAGAAACTGTCCTCAGTCGTCGGAGTGTCCATTATCCCTTCATTGCAGTTACTAGTCCCAAACTCCGGAGCCCGCTCTCGGGATAGGCCATCGCGGGTGGGGGAAGGAGCCCGGCTATCGGTAGTGTAGCGATTGGAGCGGAGTCGCGGGAAACAGGAACCGAGGACGAACGTTCCGCCTGCGCCCGCCTGCCGGGACTGTGCGCCGCACACAGGCCTCGGATCCCTGCGTCTGTTGCTGGCGAGTTTCGCTCTAATGGAATAAAGAATGAAAAACTGGGAGATGCGCCTTCACCGCCCCAACTGGGGGATTGATTGGTCAAATCACTCCTCTCGGTGTCTTGCTTTGCTCACCCGCGGGATACCCCTCTCTCAGAGCCCTGAGTACAGGCTTTCCGGGCCCCCAGCCCCCGCCCTGAGCACGATTCTGCCTCCAGACTTTCAGCGCTCAGCCTTCCGAGCTCAGAACTTCCAAAGCTCGGCCTTTTCCGCTGTGCTTTGCAGGCACTGTAACGTGAAACCAAGAAGTACGACATAGGGCTGCTCTAAAGGAACTTAGAAAACTGTACAAAAACTGTAACATGAGTATAGTAGTTAACATTTATTGAGTGGTTATTGTGTCCTAAGTGTTGTTAAAAAAAATACTATTTTCATTTAGCCCTCAAAACACTGTAATAAGCACCGTCAGGATGGTAAAAAGAAAGTGCCCTAAAGATCTGTTGTTGACCATTCGGGGTTAGGCTTTAGACAGGTGGACGGGGAGAAGGGTAGACAGGATGAGAGAACAATGAGAAAAGGCGGGAAGATGAGAGAGCTTGGATCAGGATTCAATAGACATTCCTTCAGTATCCAGAATGTGCCACCGTTAGTGTCTGCTCTCAAGGCACTCACAGTCCAGTCAAGGGATGGCTGATGAACAAATTCCTGTAATTAAAAAGTGATAATTATAACTTATTGAACCCATTACTGTTTATAGGACTGAATCCTTGCTACTTAAGGTAGGTACAGTTATTTCCACTTTAGACAGGAAATCATCACACATTTGTTAAGTAACTTGCCCAAGCCTGCACAGCAAATAAGTAGCGAATCAAGGAAAAAGTCAAAGTTGTAAGTTGTTTTGGTCAGAGGTTAGTCTGCTCGTGGGGTAGTAATAGACATCTGAAAAGTAGATTGAAGGGAGGGTATGGACCTTTATCTCTCTGTTTCTAGAATTTTTATTAGAAATGGGAATTGAATATTAATAACAGCTTTTTAAGCAGCTCTGAGATTGTTTTTTCTCTAATCTTTTAAAGGAACTATTAATAAAGTTTCTATGTTAATGAATTATATTAACAATATTAATAAATTAATAAGAATTTAATGAATTATATCAACTGATAAATTAATATAAATTTTACTGTGTTAATAGATTTCCTAATTTAGAATGATACTTATGTTCCTGGAATAAACCCATTCTGGTCCTGGCATGCTTTTTTTTTTTTTTTTCAGTATTTCTAGGTTCAGTTTGCTAATATTTTCTTTAGTATCTTTACAGCCCTATTTAAAGATGGCATTGACCAATAGTTTTCCTTTTTGCTTTATCTTTTCTCAGTTTTGTGTCAGGGTAACAGTGGCCTTGTAGGATATATTTAGAAGTTTTCATCTTTTTCTGCATTCTGCGACAGTTTAAATAAATGGGAATGGAGCAAGCAGAATTCTCCCATACTGCTGGTGGGAGTGTAAATTGTACAACCAATTTGAAAGAATGTTTGGCTCTATCTACAAAGGCTGAACATGAAATACAGCAATTCTACTTCTATCCAGCAAGAATGCATACGTGCATTCACCAAAAGACGAGAACATTCAGGGCAACACTGTTCCTAACAACCCCAACCTGGAAACTCCCCAATGTCTGTCAGCAGGAGAGTGGTAAAGTGTAGTGTGTTTACACGATGGAACACTATCCAGCAGCAAGAATGAACTCAGTACAGTTACACACAACACATGAAAGAATCTCACAAATATAATGTAGAGCCCAGGAAGCCTGACACAAAAGAGCTCACGCTGTATGCTTCCATTCATATAAAGCTCAAAATCAGACAAAACTAATCTGTGGTGTTAGAAGTCCAGATAGTGGGCAGTCTTGGGATTAGTGGCCCAAAGGTGCATAAAGAAGGCTTCTGGATATTGGTGATATTCTGTTTCTTGAGCTGAATGCTGGTTACACAGGTGTGTTCACTTTATGAAAATTCACTTAAATTTGATGTACTTTTCTGTATGTATATTATATTTGGATAAAAAATTTTAAAATAACGTGAAAAAGAAAAAAAAAGGAAGAGCGCCTGACATTCAGAGGCTGGCCTGGGGACACTCACAGCTAAGCCATGTTATTCTCTTATCAGATAGAAATAATCTCAGGAAACACCAACCTCAGACAAGGTCGCTCTGAAACCATGATAAAATCAGACAAAGCAGAGCACTTCATACATTTGTCTGAGCACAGACAAAAACAAGATCACTCTGCCAACCACAAAACACCAAACACCCTTTCTCTTGGCCAGTGAGTGACTACTACTTCTTTACAAATTACAGCTTTGTTCTCATGCTAGTCTCCTCTCTCTCTAGGTAAGATTTATTGAGATGCCCAGTCGTAGAATTGCCCAGGCTTTCTGACCACATCCAATGGAGAGCAAATTCCCCCTTCCTCAGACTCTCCCTCAAGTCACCAACCAAAGCCCAAAGCCTATAATGGGTTCTTCCTTAACACCTTCTTACTGACGCTCCCATACTTCTCCATAGTGTGTGTTCTTCCTCACTGTAATAAACAAGTTTACCTAGGACATAATCTTCTAGGAGGCCTGTGGCCTTTAATCCAACGCTGTAAGCATATTAGGAGGACTCTAGCATATAGGCAGATAAGCAGATAGAGAAAGATATTTGACTGTATTATCTAATTTGCATAATCTCAAAGTTCATTTGACTACTTTCGATTAAAATAACCAGCAGAATTACACTAAATCCAAAAAAGGAATCACAACAGTAAAATCAGAGCCCTGACCTCAGAGTCTTTGTAAAATCCATATAATGAGCAAAATTTAATGGAAAAAATATCACATCCTCAAGTTCTGAGGAAGAGTTAGATATTTCCCACTAAAAATTAAGGAAGAAAACGTGATTAATTTTGAGACCACCTCAGCAGAGGCTGTTTGATGATAATGGACAGTTTAACACAGCACAAGAAACAGAGACTTCTAGGGGATGGGTTTGTGGGTTTAGAAACTGACTTTAATTTAGAATCTTCTATAATGCTACTTATCATTATATGGATACAAATTTAAGAGCAAATCATACTCTACAAAGCAAAGTACAATTAAATAATAAAAGCCTAGCATACTCTTAGCCATTAGTCCTGAAGAGGTTCCGTTGTGCTTGATAGATGTGGACCCACAGAGCAACACAGAAAATCAGTGGACTCGATTCAGTGCGTAGTGCTCGCTGACTTCTGACCCACATTTGAAACATTTTTGTTGCTGTTCTTGTTAATATAGTAGCTAGTACATTAATGGTGCTTAGTATTATTTATTAGTAAATGTAATTTAAAATTTTTATATTGTTATTTTGACTTGCTAAAAATCAATCAACAGTAAGTTATTAAGTGCTGACATATTAATCTTTCAGGTAATGTAATACAGTAAAAAGTACAGAGGCCAGGAAGTGATATCATCCTTGCCATCAAGTAACTGATGTGTTAGTTGGAGAAACAAGATTAGGACTCATGAAACAATTAGAAAATGAAATAAAACAGTAAAATTAAGTGCTAAATCTTGTGGTGCACACTGAAGTCAAATAACGATAGGATTTTTTTAGCTGGATATCCTCCCCATAAAAGTCCTCAATTGAACCCCATTATTTTTCCAGAAGAGGCCTTTTAAACATTAAGTGACTTGCATTAGGCCTTACGTTAAGGTGGGTGACTGAGTGACCTCACACCCAGGCCTTCTAAGCAGTCTGGGCCTTTTATAGCTACTAAAACACACGCTTGCAGAATTCATTAAATGGAAAGGGAGCTATTAGTCAATTGGCAGAAGCTAATATGAACTATTTGCAGGTGCATTCGAAGTAAAGCTCTTTAAGGAAACTATCCTTGAACTTGAAACGAAGAAACTGAAAATTTTCTTATTCATCTCAGTAATCTTTTTCTGGTACAGTTACTGTTTGAAGAATAAAGGGACCAGAAAATAAAAACATAACTAACACATTGTTCCTTCATAAAATATTTCTTTATGTGAAAAATGAGTTCTATGTGTTTGAGTCTCTGAGTGGTTCAAGATTCCGATGCCTACCATCTTGCTGGCACCAGCGGAGTGGAAGTGTAATATCCATATCATCCACATGATGGAGACATCGAGCCAGGTTTGTTTTCCACCAGAGTGACAGGCTTGCTAGATTCTCTTTGTCCTTTAGGTCTTGACACTCAGGAAAGACACAGACCTTGTGTGTCGAGTGGCACAGTGAATGGAACAATTGTTTATGCAATTAAATCTTTATTTTAAATGCAGCCAAATACTAATTTTGTTTCTTCTTTAGACTTAGAACCCAAGAACTCTGAAGAGGAAAACGGGCTTTGTTAAGAAGCACTTGATTAAAAAAAAAAAATGTTCTGACAATCCGTTTATTATTCTGAATGCCACAGTAAGAAATAGAAGTCCTACATGTAGCGTGAGATAAACTTAGCTCTGAATCTACGTCGTTACCC